CACTCATAAATATATTCTGTTCTTAACCTCCATTGTTCCTAAATTAATTCTTCGATTTTAGAGAACACGAACTCATACTGGACATCCACTTCCCATTTGAGAGAGATCTATCTGCCTATTATCTACCCTTTATGTTGCTCTTTATTTATTCTTTAGGTTTCTCATCTAAGGGATATTTAACTTTCTGGATCTGATTTATTTCACTTAACATTGTAGTCTCAAGGTGCATCCATCTTCCTACAAATGACTCATTTATTTTTATGCTAAACTTTCTCTATGAAAGAAGCAATGCACTAATAATTAGATGACAGTAGAGTTTTGCTCTATTATAATTGTTATCTAAGACAATTGTTTCTCCTGGACACTGACACCAGACCCTAGAGAAGATAGGTCTCCATGAGACACATAAGAATCTAATGGTGGAGTCTCAAGACTCAAGATGCAGTAAAGTTTAGCACGTCAAGTAGCTGCACTGAAAGAGTAAAGGAGTGAATATTTCGCATGGCCCTGTGGGCCGTTTACCCTCACTATGCCACTGTCACAAACCAGTAATGCATTAACGTCCTTAGTGTGAGGCTGTGGGACTGGGGAGGGTATTTAGAGGGAAGCTAAATTCTGAAATGGTTCCATGCTGCTGCTGAAGGCTGAGCAGCAGGATAAGTTGGTACTGATCCTTGTTTTACCATTTTCCTCACTGATACACATTTTACACAACAAGTTCTAATTCCGTCTACTTGTATGTGGTGGAACTGAAATACACAGTGAATGTTTAATATTTTAATCTTTATTTTTTTATAAGTACACGTTTGCAGTACATGCTGATTCTGTTTCTCAGAGGGAGTTGGTGCGTGTACATAACATTGCCATTATCCCTCTCAAAATACTCACCCGAACTTCAGACACTCATTGTTCTTGCCGTTCTCCGTAGCACTTCTGGAAGTCCTCTTTCATGAGTGTCTCTATGAAGATGACCAAACATACAGTGAATACCACTACCAAGTGCCATCCAACAAAAAGGCAAGCTTGTAAAAGAAAAGATTACTGTGTGTTCTCATCCTCTCAACCTTAACATTGTTGGTATAGTGGAGACCCTACATGGTGAAGGAAAAAAAGAAAGAAAAAAACAAAGAAACGAAAGAAGGGAGAAGAAAGGGAGGAAAAGGGAAATGAAGAAACAAAATATAATTTTTAGATTACACAATTATGAACAAAGAAGAGTCAAAAAATCTACCTACACATTATAGGGATTTTAGCAAGGTTACTGGATACAAGGACAATATACACGTTAAAAGTCTTTCTATGCTAAAGCAATTAGAAAATGAAATTTTAAAATGCTACTGTAAACAATAACATCAGTAATATCAAGTATGCAGAAATAGGTTATTTTAAAAGGTGCAAGACCCCTACAAGGAATATTGTAGAACTAAATTGAGGTATATTAAAGAAAACATGATTACATGGGAAAATGTATCACATTCATTGACTAGAAGAGCCAATGGGATTGGGGGTTTTATTTTCAAATTTGGTATGCTGATTTTTAGAACATATAAGGTAATGAAAGGGACCAAAAATATCCCAGATAATCTTTAATAAGAAGAAAAATGTCAGAGAATTTGCTCTAAAAAATTAAGATATGTAGCTATCAAATATATAGTAATTAAAACAGTATGAGATTGATATAGTGATAGACAAAGAAAACAATAGGTAATACAGCAAAAAACATAAAAAAGATGCACTCAGGTGGACCTAGATTTGGACAGCATGACAGTTTAGGGCATCATTTTTACTAATGATGCTAATATACTTGATTATACATGTAGAAAAAATGAATTTGGACTTGGAAAGATGCTGACATCATTGGTAAGCAGGAAAAGCCCATTGTAAAATCACAATGAGAGATCACTGTATCTTTTTTTTCCCCCTGAATGAGGTTATAGTTTATATTGTAAAAGAGAGGGCACTGGATGTAGCTCGGGGGTAGAGTGCTTACCTAGTATTCACAGGGCTTTAGGTTTGATCCCTGTGTGTGCTGGAGCTTGTGCATACACACACACACACACACACACACACACAAAGAGGGAGGGAGGGACTAAAAGCAGAAAGACAAAAAGGGGGTACATACATAGGGCTGGGGGGATACCTCAGTGGCACAGAGCCTGCCTGGCAAGTGCAAGGCCCTGAGTTTGATTCCTCATACCAAAAAAAGGGGGCGGGAGTACAAAAGAAAGAAAATGGGAGCAGGGGGAGTAGAAACGATCAAGATATGAAATAGATAGATAGATTGATACCTCCCAAACTGAATATGATCACTATGTGTCAAAAACGTATGCCACCAAAATTTTTTTTAAAAAGAAAGAAAGCACACATGAACAGTTAGCTCCTGTGTCATTTACTGGTCAGAATCTTCAGGCTTTATTAAAACTGAAGTCTGAATAAATGAATGTTATCAAATGATTTTTGTCAAGTCAGTAAAGCAACAGAATTTTACTGTTTTGTAGAGAGAACATTGCATTTCCTTACCCATGATGAAGCATAGGTGGTAGCTTCTGCTTTTAATCTTAATATATTCCTTTGTACAGTAGCCAGAAATTACCTGTAGACACATAACATGCTCAGGAATGCTGTACACAAACACAGTCATGCGGGCTTTTGATTCTGTCTGCCTTCTGACAGTGTTGGAACTGCGCGGTAAGCTTCTGGGCAAAATGAGTCATGAACACAGACAGTTTTGTTTTCAGAACTGTGTGCATCAGATAGGAATGCTGTGCTGCAAGTGAAAGACAACCTAGCTTAACACAGAGAGATCACTTTTCACATTAATACACGAATCTGGAGAAAGGCAGCTGCTGGTATTGATTCAGCGGCTTCATAATGCCAAGGTTGGCATCTCAGTGATTCTTCTGGCCTTTTCCCAGGCACGAATGACCAAGGCAGGTGAGGTATTAAGTTGAAAATACCTGTGGGAAGACAGGAGGAAGATTGCAGGGCACAAACGTTAATGTTTTGCTTGTATTAGAAAACCAAAAGCTTTCTCTCACACCCACAGACTATTTCCTGTTTCTCAGAGGATAGGCCTGTGCTACACAGCCACCCTGAGGGGCAAGGAGTCTGTGAGCATGAATATTTAACTTTTGCAGCCTTCATTGGGAAGCAGCAAGGGATGAGACTTTTTTTTTAAAGGCTTTGACTAAGCTCTCTGAACTTCATGTTTTTTGTTTGTTTGTTTTTTGTTTTTTTTGTTTTTCTTCCAGTACCAGGAATCGAACTCACGACCTTGCACTTGCCAGGCAGGCGCTTTTGCAGCTGAGCTAAATCCCCAGCCCCTCTCTGAACTTTAAGGCCTAAATTACTTCCCCTGTAATGTTCAAAATGTCTACCATATGAATGGATTCTTTTCCTTTAGGAATAATATCTAGAAGGCCTCTATTTATATGTACATGTTGCCCAGAAGGGTAACACAATACCCCACCAATGTATTAATTTGTCTTTGGAGGTTGGCTAGCCAACAGCACAAAATCAAATGTTAAGTGAGCAGAATAACTAACTTTTAGTAGAGGAGAAATATATCAGGAAAACTCTAGACAGTGAGGCGAGATCTTTAGTATCAATAAGCAAGTGAAGACGCTAAACTTAGCTAGTAGGCAGGAGGCACTTAAGGATAAACTTTACCCACTGTACTTTGCCCAGGATTAATCGCAAAGCCAATTCCTAGAGAACATGGTAGATTGTCCCTAGTGCATGCCATTAGAACTAAGCTACTAGTACTGCTCGCCATCCTGCCCAGAATGAGGAAGATAGGAAAAATGGACATCTCAGGGATGAGATGATTGGAAGACAGATTCCTAACCAGGTAGTACAGTGCTTATTAAGACCACAGGCTCTAGAGGTAGCCAGACTCCCTGCATCCAAATCTTGACTCTACTAGCTCTTGACTTTAGCAAGTTTCTGAACCTCATTTAGTTTCCTTATCAGTGGGAAGGACCACAGGCTATAATGAGCATTAAGCAAGTTAATAAATGCAACTTACTTGAAATCACACATGGTGCATAATAAATGCTAAATAAGAGCTTGCTTCAAAAAAATAAAGGCTTTTCTTGTGATTATATTGATACCATGTTTTGATATGTGTTTTTGAGAAAGTCTTTTTCTGTTTTTAAAAATTCTTATTGTAATGGAAGAAAATGTTTGCCAGCTATTCATCTGAAAGTAGAATACACAAGGAACTTGTCTTAGTTACTTTTCTCTTCTCTGAAACACAATTCCCAACATCCACAAGTTAAAGGAGGAGAGATTTATTTTGGCTCACAGTTTGTAGAGGTTTCTGTGCATAGTCAGGACACAGGGACACAGCTGAGGAGGAGCAGCCCACAGCAAGGTGCATAGAAAGCAGCAGCCAGTAAGCCTCCCTTTCCCTTTTATCCCACCCAGGCTACAAGCTTTTTGGGTGGTGCCACCTACACCCAATGTGGACCTTCCCATTATCTACACCCAGAGCTATGCTAAAGCAATCAGTGGACTAATTTATTTAAAACATACCTTTAATCCCTGTATCACATACACTGGATCCAGTCACCTCCAAAAAGCCCCACCTATAAGCATATGAGGTTTTGGGGAGACATCTAGATACAAGACATAACAGAACTCAAAAAATTTAACAAAAAAGTAATCCAATTAAAAGCAGGCAAATGATCCAAACACACAATTCTCAAAAGAAGAAATACAAATGGCCAGCAAATAAATAAAAAAATGTGCAATTTATTAGTCATCAGGAAAATGCAATTCAAAACTACAATGAGATATCATCTTACCCCAGTCAGAATGGCTATTATCAAATAAACAACAAACACTGGCAAGAATGTGGAGAAAAAGGATCTCTTGTACATTATTGGTGGAATGTAAATTAGTACAGTTATTATGGAAAACAGCATCCAGTTTCCTCAAAAAAACAAAAATAGATCTACCATGTGATCCAGCTATCCTATTAACTCAACATAGCAAAGAGATATGCACGAGTGCCCATGAATATTATAGCATTATTTACAATGTTTAAGATATGGAATCAACAAATGAATGGATAAAGAAAATATGGTATGTACATATACAATGGAGTATTATTCAGCCATAAAGAAGAATAGAATCTTATTCCTTACAGGAAAATGATTGGAACTGGAGGGCATTATGGTAAGTGAAATAAATCAGACAAAAAAAGATAAATACTACATGTCTCCCTTATAGATGGAAGCAAAAAAGAAGGTCCAATGGTGATTTCTAGAAACTGAGAAAAAGAATTGAAAAAAGGAGGGTGGATTTAATCAGTACATGCTGTGTGCATATATGAAAATAGTGAACACATCTCTAAATTAATATAGGTTGATAAAAAGAAATAAAGAAGTTATTATTATAGGTACAACATAGGCTCTCTACAAAGTACTAAGAAAAAGCAAAGTGGAAAAAAAAACTTTAACCATCTATATTTTCTCTACTGCTGAGAAACCACTACCAGTGTAGTACATTTTATCCATCTATCAATTTTTGTTAGCAAAAGTGAGATCTGCTCTGTATAGTGCTCTTTAATGTGTCCCTAAAATTTTAACAGTATGTTATGACCACCTGTACATACCTAGGAATATTCCTACAGAATTTTTTAGTTGCTCAAAGGTATTCTGTTAAATGATTAACTCATGTTAAATCATTAACTCTGCCAATTCCCTGCTACTGTGTTTGTTTGTCTTTTTGAGACAGAGTTTTGCTATGCTGTTCAGGCTGGATCACTTTGAACTCACTTTGTAGCCCAGACTGGCCTCAAACTCACAGCAATCTTCCTGCCTCAGCCTCCCAAGTGCTGGGATTACAGGCATACACCATTATGCCAGGCTCTCTCTGCAACTGTTCACATTGGTCCTACCTTTGTTTTGTTTTGTTTTGTTTTTGCTATCAGAGATGGCACCTGATGAACACCCTTAGAGTTGTTGTCCTCTACTCATCCATTGTGATTTCCCGAGGACATAGTATCAAGTAAAACTGCAAGGTCAAAAATAATGCACATTTTTAAGACCCTGATGAGTAGGATTTAATTGATCTCCAGAAAAAACACAGTGTATTCAAGTATTCACTCATCTCTTTATCCCTTTTGAGAACACTATTACTGTTTTGTTTAGTTTTCCTGAAACACCTCCTCAGATTCCCAAATATGATAGCGTCTTTGATACGGAACACTGCATATGTGGCTGTGATTTCTTTGAACTATTTGTGCACATCCTGTTGCCCTTGATAATAAATAATTAAATAATTAATAATTATTTAAGAGAGAAAGAGAGATAATAAATAATTAAGGTAAAAACCTTAATCGTGCCTCAAGGACTTCATCTGGTGGACTGGATTTTTGCCATGATGTTTTTAGATGGAAATTCTTTACAACAGGTCCTGATTTGTTTGTTTGGGAGTAGAGGTCCCAGATATTGTTAGTCAGCAGCTAGATTTTGCCAACCAATTTTTTTCATCAAAGTTTGTTTTAAAATGAAGGAATACATTGACTACATTCCTAGGTCAGCCGAAGTTGTGTGATCGTCACCACGAACACTGAAACTGAAATCTAAATCTTTCAATGCTCTCTCATGGGCTGTTTAGTCAATTAGTCTATTCAATATTTCCTTCTCACCTACTGAATTCATGACCTGTGTGCCAGAGATATAAAGATGAATAATAATATCCTCAAAACTGGAGGAGTTTGAGATTAAGAGAAGCAGATAGGGCAAGGCCTGGTAGCAAACACCTATAATCTCAATTTGGGGTGCTGAGACGGGAGAATTGCTATGAGCTCAAGGCCAGGTAAGGCTGCATATGTAGTGATTTCAAGG